TAGAGCTGGAAGCTGAGAACTGGCGACTTTGTAGTACAACTTTAGTACGCGGAGCAATCTGTGCAGCTAGAAGCTGAGAACTGGCGACTGCGTAGTACAACTGCAGTACGCGGAGCATCTGGGGAGCTGGAAGATGAGAACTGACTGGCGACTTTCTAGTACAACTTTAGCACGCGGAACAACCTGTGGAGCTGAAAGCTGGCGACTTTGTAGTACAACTGTAGTACGCGGAGCAAACTGTGCAGCTAGAAGCTGAGAACTGGCCACTTTGTAGTACAACTTTAGTACGCGGAGTATCTGGGGAGCTGGAGGCTGAGAACTGGCGACTATGTAGTACAACTTTAGTACGCGGAGGAGTCATTTTTTGTGAGTGAGTCATCTCTCGCTGCTGAGTCCTCTCTCGCGACTGAGTCATCTCTCCCTGCTGAGTCATCTCGCTGCTGAGTCATCTCTCACTTCTGAGTTATCTCTCGCTGCTGAGTCATCTCTCGCTCCTGATTCATCTCTCCCTGCTGAGTCATCTCTCACTGCTGAGTCATCTCTCGCTGCTGAGTCGTCTCTCGCTGCTGAGTCATTTGTGGTTGCTGAGTCAGCTGTGGTTGCTGTGTTATCTCTCGCTGCCCACTCATCATACACCACTCAACATACACCACTCATCATACACCCCTCATCATACATCACTCATCATACACCACGAATCATAACCCAACACTGGTTACAGCTGATTGTTTTGTCAGCAGGTAAGTTTGTACTGAAGGTTGAAGTCCGGAGCGCGTGCGTTTGACTGGGGGACGCGCGTGTTTGAGAGAAGCGGAACACTCCTATAGGTCAATTTGTTCTTATAGGAAACTTCCGCCGCCGGCTTGCCCGGGAACTGCTTGTACAGAGGGCATAGAACCTGAATGGACGCCCATAGTCAACGTCTATACACACAATCTAGGATGGGTGTTCATGCTGAGGTAATGCCTAGCAGGTAGGGTGCAAGAGGTTTGAACCTGGATGTGTTAAAGTACAGTCTTTCTGCATTTTCTACGTAAATTACTGCACGCCAAATCATGAAACTATCCAAACAGACTGTGAAGCTCTTGTACGTCTCTTGTATGATTGATGAATCTTGCACGTCTCTGTCTCAAGTTCCGGGTGTCGCACTGTTCTTCCATTCCCTTCAGGATCGCTCCATGAAGTATGTTTGCGAGAACCTGGTCAAGCCCTTGACCAAAGAGGTTCGCTTGTCCTATGCCGAGTTGGTTGGTGCACACCAGGTGCAGTGGTTCATCAGTCATTTCTGGGGCACTTCCTTCCAGCACTTTACTGAGGCGGTCGGACACTGAGAGACTGTATGTGCCACGTTGTGTCACGCGTGTCCCTGTTCATAGTGAGTTTGTGTCTTGTGCCATCAGCAAAAGTCTTTGAAGGAGCAACCTGCTGAAAACCAGAGTTTCCTCAGTGTCCTCGGACTTTCAAAACAGGTTGCCCAGGGATCTGGGCGAAGATGTTGTCAAGAAACTTGCTGTTGGATTTCTTGTTACGGACCAATCTATGTGGGCTGTGGGTTCAGAGGAATCTGTTCCGCTGTGTGGTAGGTGCTGTGTTGCTTTGTAGTACTACTAGTAACAAGAAGCTACTAGTAGCAAAGTGCATGTTTTTTTCTGCCTAGCCTTGGTCAGTGTCTCTTTTGCATTTCAAAGGAAGGAAAGGAGGAAAAGAGAAGAATGGTCAACAAAAGAAAGGCAAAACACATGTGTTGAGTCGCTTCCCGACGCCTGAGTCGCCTCCGGCGCCCTCCTGTCGTCCGGGTTCAACTGCGTTTGAGGTCTTTAAGCATGCTTATTCCGTGCATCACAAATGGCAGGACGGGTCGGGTATGGCAGAGTGCACCAGCACACGGTGAAACTTCGGTCAACAATTACTAGTAAGGCACTTGTTTCTAATAGCTTCTTGTTACTACTAGTAAGGCAGTTGTTACTAGAAGCGATGCACTTGTTACTAGTAGCTTCTTGCTTGTTTGTAGGACGGAGAAATCTACAGAAAAGGTCTTTTGCAAGAAGGAAAAGGTAGTCCAAAGTGTTCTTGCTACTCGTTAGAGGTACTCCAGGTAGGTCAGTTTAAGACAGATGTTTTTTGTTCGGTAGCTGTGAGTGTGCGTAATCCCCTGCATCAAGTCATCGCAAAGAGAATCTGGGTCTTGGACTCAACTACGCCTGGACCCTAGTAGCCATGCTTTTCTTAGACCTCTCTTTGTTCCTTCCTTTGTCCAAGGAATATAAAGCCGGGGGTCTGTCTTTTCACCTCGAGTGAAATTCCAGACCTGAAGACTTCGATGGTTCGATGGCCTTTCTTCCGTCGACTCGACAGGAGGTGACCTATTGGATTTGCACCTTTGCGAACAACCAGTGGATCGTCGAGGCAGAGTTGGGGAATGGTCAATGGCAGAACTCCTCCTTCTATTTGGCATTGACCAGCTCAAGTTGCCGAGGCTCGAAGCTGACGAAAAAGCAACCGATTTTTTCCAGGACGGCCCAACCAATGGAAGACCCACCCTTCAAGAGCATCCTCTCTCATCTGGATTTTGTGTTGTTTGAGGCACCGTCATGGTCATCGACGAGCTGGCGCTGCCCTTGCAACGGGCCTGGTGCCTCTTCGAGGTCCTGCAGACCCAGCTCCGTGCTACGCATCTCGTTTGCAGTCTACAAGTAGAGGAAAATGCAATACCAGGAACGCCAGTTGACCGTGAAAGCTTACAGGCCACTATTTTATGTCACCTTTCCTTGCTATGCCCAGTTTGCCTGTGTCAATCCCTTCAATACTTCCGTCATCATGATCAATGCGCCCTTTCAAGACTGGGGGAAAAAGAATGCCTTAAACATTTCTTAGCAAAATGCAGGAAAGAAAAGTTCCGAAAGAAATGACCTGAATCTGAAGTCTAGGTCTTACCGCTTTGAGACCTTCTTCAAACAATAAAGGACATGTTTTTTTGTGGTTACCTGTGTTCATCATGTTATTTTGTTTGTTTCTTTTTAGACCTTAGACCGGTTTGTTTTCTTCCAGTTCTTCCTCTTTACAAGGGCTCTTCAAGAGAGAAGCTATGACAATTTGAGGACAGAGACTGCGAGTGCCTTTGAGGGCTTGGTACTCTGCACCTCTACAGGTGTCTTGCGGAACGGCCAGGGCGGTGTAGACGTGGCGATGGCCATTGCACGGCAGCTGGCGCAACTCGATCTCCGAGATGCCCAAGCCTCTGCAGAGAGCGATCGCTTGATGATCTATGCCTTGGTGGAACAAATGCCCGGGGGGTTCAATGCGCCTCAGCTTCGGTACTTCTTCCTTTCTACCTTTCTTCCTTTTGTTCCTCATTTGTTCAAGGAAGCTACTAGGAACAAGTGCATCGCTAGTAGTAACAAGTGCCTTACTACTAGTAACAATTAGAATTAGATTAAACTTAAATAGCTTCTTGTTACTACTAGTAAGGCACTTGTTACTACTAGCGAGGCACTTGTATTTACTAGCAAAGGAATGTACTAGGAAACGTGTTTCTCCATGTGTTCCTCTAGACTCTAGACTTTAGACCAGACTTGTCTTTCCTGTTTCTTACTGGAAACTTGCACAACAGGGTGAATAGTTGCTTTTGGGGGGGAACCTTTAGTGGTCAACCGGAGAAATGGGTCTCAGCAGAGGCGGTCAACAGCTTCGTGCGGAAGTCCATCCGGAACTCCTTGTTGACAATGCACCAGCGTTTTGAGGAGGACTTTGCTCAGGTGCTTCTGTAAACCGAAAGGCTCCACGTAAAATGCAAACAAAAAGGCATCCGACATCCTTGTTTTGTGTGGTTTCTTTTCTGTTAGTTTTGATGCTATGTTGTATCCTTCTTTCATAAAACAAGAAAACGTTCAACAAACAGCTTGGCTTGTTAGACCTCATGAAGTGAACCACAAACTGACATGATGGAAATCAAGCTTCCAAAGGTAAGTGGGGTTGGGTCTGCGATAGTCTCGTATCTCTTCAGCAAAGAAGAGTGAGCTCATGAAGTGGTGGAGGGTTAGAGACGAGGTGCCCTGAGGTGCCCTTGCAGTTCGCAAATGCCTCCATGGCATGCCCCGCAGCCCAAAAAGCAGCTGCGCACTCGCAGCATGCATACCTTCAATACAACCTGAGTGAGTCCTTAGCACAGCGTGAGCTTAATCAACTAAGTTCCACCGCCAATTTGGGAAGCGAGTCAGACATCCATTGAGTAATACTAATACTATTTAATATGCGTTTATAGTCAGTGTTTTTTTAAGCATGCACCTCCTGATGTCACCATGGTAGGAAGTCAACCTCGATTCATACCTCCGAATCATGCCACCTCTGTTCACTTCTCAACCCGACTACGCTAAACAAGACACACCCATTTCGAAGACATCGCTATTTAGGTTGGAGGCCATGCCACACTTCCTCACGACATACAAAAACATCCCTCTAAACAAGACTTCACCCAGGTGCTTTGCACACTCCAAGTGTCCAAAGCCATCAGCACCCCGCGAGAACGATGTGACAGCGAATATGGTATGCTGTTGGAGCACACGAAGTTCAGAGCTAGCAAGACATGTCCAATGCAATCCTTAGAATTGGTTTGAAGAGAGAGTTTTGAAGTTCGAACCTGCTGGGCTGAGCCGGAAATCAGGACTAGCTAGCTAAGCCTTTGGAATGGATCAACGACTGCTTTTTGGTCCCCAAACGTGGCTCATCCCAGAATTCATCACGCGATGGTTTGGGCAGCTCACCAGGTGTGAAAGCCTGGGCGGCTCTCATGTAAAGCATGTAAAGCCTGGGGACCGTTGTGACTCTGCCTAGTTGGTTCTATAGCATTGCAGGCAGAAACCCTTTGCCCTCAGAAAGCCATGAACGACTGATACATGATTGTAAACAAACAAACAAACAACTAGGCTATTACAACGTTTGGCAAAACTTGCAAAGCTGGGTAGCTCGTTTAGGTTTCGTAAGTTTCGCCGGGGAGGGCTTGAACGATTGCTTTACCGAAAAAGGGCTTTTGATAGAGCGCCAGATAGAATCGCTTTGACTTCAAGCACATATTTTATTCAAACACAGGAAAGTTTACTATTTACTTATGTTCGAAGTCACCAAGTAAAACCACTGATATGTGTGATGGTGTTAGCAGCCCTGCCGTTTGATTTGCTTTCTCGACGTGTTTGCCTTTTGCATCTTGAGGCTACATGCGCCACAAAACCAAAAGACAGAAAATTACCGTGTTTCTGGAACACCACACATCTTAAACATGCATCAAGTTCGAGCCGAAACCGACGAAAGACAATGTTAGGTCCTGCTCGGCACAAAAACCATTGTCAATCTCGGTAACAAGTGCATCGCTTCTAGGAGCAAGGGCCTTACTAGTAGTAACAAGAAGCTACTAGGAGCAAGTGCATCGCTACTAGCAACAAAGAATCTCAATGGGTTTCAATGTTTTTTTAACTTTATGCTGCGCTTGCGACAATCGCTCAACAAAACATGTTTCCAACATGCCAAAAATGTGTGGCTTCATTACTTTTCTCAAGGCTGACATTTTGAAGACGTTTTTCCGTGTTGGTTTCGTAACCTCAAAGTTGCAGAGTGGACCAACTTACGTTCAAAGGACTAACCCCAAGGCTTTTGCAGGAGATTCGTCATGACACACTCGTGTTTGGTTTTAACACATTCAAAAGCTTTTATGCAGTCTCCGAAGAACTAGATTCCCAGCCGGTGCCCATCAGAACCCCACCGTTTCTTCTTGTCCATTCTCTGTGTCTTACCTTTTATTGGAACAATATCCAGACACAACAGGTTACACGCTCGAACTCAATTGATCATTCTTGTCTAGGAACAAGAAGCTACTAGTAAACAAAGGGCATCGCTACTAGGAGCAAGAAGCTACTAGTAGCTCCTGGCATTACTACTAGTAGCAAATAGCTACTAGGGACATTGTTTCCCTTGAAGTGATGCATCGAAAGGGTAACAAGAAAGGGGCAGGAAGCTTTGAGCATTGGATGTTGGAAATGTTCCAGTCGAGGCCAAACCCAACAAATGCATACTCCGCACCGTTGAGAAAAACAGAAGAGGGTTTCGAAGCTAGCACTTTGCTGGGGTGAGCCTGATTGGAACAGGCACCTTGCCAGGTCCATCGAATGGATCGACGGATCAATTGCTTTTTGGTCCCCAAACGTGGCTCATCCCAGAATTCATCACGCGATGGTTTGGGCGGCTCACCAGGTGTGAAAGCCTGGGCGGCTCTCATGTAAAGCATGTAAAGCCTGGGACCGTTGTGACTCTGCCTAGTTGGTTCTATGATTTGTTCGACCAGCTCGACAAAAGCGCACACCGGTGCTTCGGCTTGTTTGATTTGGTCATGGTGTTTTGCATGGGGTTAGGTTGACAAGTTCAACAGAAGAATCATGCGTTTGAGGCAAAGTAAGATCACCTAAGCCTCTTGTTTCACAAAGGTGGTGCAGCTGAGACCTGCTCTTGCTGCGGGGATTCTTGGAATTTGGTGTTTGGTCTTGCAATGTCTTCCATGTGTGACAGCATTGTCCTGGTTGAAGGCCAGGGTGAACAGTGCCATTCCAACTTCATGTTATTGTCCATTACTAGCACGGACGCGCTTTCGCCTCACGTGGGTTGAACCAGTTGAACCCCCCATTTTGCCAGGAGCTCTTGAAGATCAAGGTGCGGTCGTTGTCGGTGTTCGTGTGTGCTTTGAAGATGTAGCACATCGAAGGCCAAGGCTAGACTGATCTCCTTGAAGAACCTAGGATAAACTGAAAGGGAAAGAGAAAAAAGACGAAATCAGATGACGATAGAGGGCCTTGTTGAGGAGGATGTCAACCACACGTGCAAGAGAGATCTAACAGTCGTCACAAAAACCTCTCAATATATCACACCAATACATATGTGACAAGAAAGCTATTAGAAACAAGTGCCACGCTTCTAGTAACAAGTGCCTTACTAGTAGTAACAAGAAAGCTATTAATTTAATCTAAATTTAAATTCAATTCTAATAGTTTTCTGTTACTACTAGTAAGGCACCTGTTACTACTAGCGTGGCACTTGTTACTAGTAGTAACAAGTAGGAGACAAAACAGATTTGCTCGGTTTCGGTTCGAGATATCGCTTCCATTCTGCTCGCTCCCTCGAACCGGAATGAAGCCAAACCAAGTGGTGTCAGCCTTGGTGTGCGCAACTTGTTTAGCCCTTGGGCTGCAAAAGGTGCCACGAGCACTCTCGGTGTTTTTGCAGTCTAAACGAGGTTGAAATTCCGCTAACTTTGGCTGAAGACAACATAAAACGATCTATTCGGGGAGCCTTACAGAGTTAACATGAGTCAAACCCATTGGCAATCATGTTAGGGGGCCATCGCTAGTAGGTTTGGAACAAAATAGAGAAAGCGCACTTGGTGAGAACTGGATTGCATGTTGCAATTCTCGAGCAATCCAGATTGAGGTCTTGAGCGATGCTGAAGAGACATCCTCGTGTCTCAGGCTTCCAGACAGCTGTCACGGGCAAAAGCACCTTCTCCGAGGCAGTGAGCCAAGAGGTTGGGATGGTTACCCATGGGAGGCTCAGGAGATGTATTATGTGAAGGCACGGTTGATGGATTGGGACAATGATGATGATGCGGATGCTGTAGCAATCGACAAGAAGGATCTGCTCTTCTATGAACGTGTTGGAGAGGAGTTCTATCTACACAATCTCACCAACTTCCGTCTCCCTCAGAATGTGACGGAAGCAAGCCAACTTGATGTCGCAGACTGGGATGGTGACGGCATTCATGATTTGCTGTTCTTTGATCAAGCGGGCTTTCAAGTTTGGATGTCAAGGCGCTTGGCTGATGGAAGCTTTGAGCCACCAATTGCCTTGTTGTCGATTCGTGTTCCACCTCACACCTACGAGTCTGATGTCAAAGTTGATTTCTTTCAAGCGATCGATTGGGATGGAGATGGGGATTTAGATGTGCTGCTTGGAGGTTATTCCTTTGCAATCTACCTTGAGCATGCACATGGTGAGCTTGTCCAATGGGACAATGAAAGAAGCCCTTTCAAGCAGCTCTTTCAAGAGCCAGGAAAGACGCTGATGTTGATGCATGTGGTTGATTGGGATGCTGATGGCGACTTGGACGTGCTCGTATTCTACAATCGCAACCGATGCAATGGAGAAGGCTGCATCCACTTGAGACCAGTGGTATTTGTGGAACGTCTCGATGATGGGACATTGCTGCAGCATCACGATGTGCTGGCAACGGGGCTTGGTGATTACTTGCAAGCTGTTGATTGGAATGGAGATGGCCGTTTGGCTCTTTGGATTGCAATTGAAAAAGACAGAACACTGTCTGGGCTATTAAAGAATATTGAAGAGGCCCCTACCTTCTGTTGTTTTAATGTGCCTTCAATATGTTTTAAACAGTCCCCTCTTTAGCATGCACACTAACAAGAGAGTGAGGAACAGGTGTTCTACTCACAGATGCTGTGAGTCGAAACGTTTGCCAATGGTATTGTTCTTCTATGCAGAGCAATGGTTCCACGCTGCTGGGTCCCAACCCAATAGCGACGGCCTCCAACTTGGAACACGTGATTGGCTAGCGTAAAAAGCGGTTCCAGCTAGCCAGTGAAACGAAGCAGACTCAGTGAGAACCACTACGATTTCGCTGCGTCAGTGTCAGAATTCATCCTGCTTTGTACACGCAGTGTATGTTCTTAAAAAAAGAAGAAACAATGGCAAGGGCTTCCTTAGGCCCCTTTAAAGGGTGATACAAAGGAAATCCAAGGACTTGTGGGTGGATCGCTCACTTTACAACCGAAGCGTGGATCACTCATTGGTGGAGCGGGTTGGCAGAGAGAATCCCTTCTTACAGGGACACCTCAACGTCATCAACGGTGAATCTGGGCAGAGAAGGTTTTTGTGATCTTCAGGAACAGGAGGGCCGGGCTTTTGTGGGAGCTTATCCCCAATACTTGAAGGCCTCACACTGCCTTTTGCTGATGTTCTGGAAGAGTGTGAGCATTCCGACTCCGATTTGGGTCTCTTCGGGCGCCTTCATTAGGTCATCCTGGTTCGATGTGGCCAACTCCCGAAGAATAGAACACGACTACTGAAACTCATCATGTGTGTTGGATCAACCTTGACCCGTTGAGAACTCAGATTTTCAAATCCAACCGTCAATCCATGCTCTTACAAAACATCCTCTTGGTTTTCTGCCTGGGTGGGAATGGCCAACCGAGAGAGAATATCGGGATATTGCAAGACAAGACAAATGGCTAGAATGGCATGGCGCTCGATTTGGTCTTGGACTTGACTTATAATTGATTCAAGCAATCAATGCCTTTTTGAAACAAGTTCGTTCTTATTCCCCACATGCTAGTGAGGAGTTCTTACTTTTTCTTGGGTAATCCCGCCTCCTCCTCCTCCTCCACCAAGTCATACACTCGGGAAATGCGTACAGAACTCATTCCGGTTTGCCACCCGCCAGCCAAAGTAAAAAAACCTAAGAAACCAGGACAGGGGGTAAGTGAGGTGGTCTGAACCTCCTCACAGTCTCAAAGTAAGGTTGATTGAACGTCCTCAAAACCTTCAAGTGCGACAAGTTGCAACTGCAAGTCGGTCAAGCTCACTAGAACGTCACTGCAGAACCAAAGCCAAGAGAGAGGTGTTGTTCTAGCTAAAGCAGGGACCAATGGAGAGTTTCCAAGTCAAAGCGAACAGGTACAAGTGGTTGATCAGACCACTCATCTACCGAAATGCCATAGTTTCGTTGGACTGGATAGGCAAAATCGGCTCCAGCCCCCCTGCTAGAAATGAACAAGAACAATGAGACCAAAAGGCCCTCTGTCTCTCCTCTCTCATCTCTCCTCTCCTCTCTCTGCTCTCCCACTCGCTCGCGCCCAAGCATGTCTTCGTTGAACGCTTCGGGTGCGGCCACCAGACCTTTATCGCCCACACAGACACTTCTGCAATTTGTGCAAGAACTCCTGAAGAACATTCCCAATAGTCTCGCCTTTCATTATTCTCTACCTGCTTGGCGGGTTTGTTCTCGTAGATTTCAATTTCTTCCCAAAGAAGTGATTTGCCATGGCACTTGACGCAAAAAGCATTTGCGCGTACGTGCCCCCAAAAACATACTGGATGGCGTCAGAAGAAAGAAAGATGGCTCTGGCCTGGCTGTCAGGAACCCACAGCTGCACCCGCTACTTCTGTAGCCCTTGAGGCAGGTGTTCTTTTTCGGCGCGGCAAGAGTGTGTTTGCTCAGGCCTACCTGCGCCTGTGCCCGCCACTCCCTTCGCCTTTTTCTGACAAGTTGAACTGCCAAAGCCAAGTCAAGCCCTCAATTTTCAGGTCGAAGATGAGCCCGACAGGGCCACGACCAAGGCAGGTGCCTTTTCTTCTCAATCTTTCAGTTAGCTAAACTCAAGCTGCTAAACAAAATGCGAAGCGCATGCAATGCGACTCCTTTTGTCGTGGCTGTGTTGCACTTGAGTCAGTACCACAGCCCAGAGGTCTGACAGGGCTTCGCCCGTCATTCCCCCCTTGGGAGTTGCATGTTGCGACCCCAGGACTCTGTTCTGGTCTTGAGGTCACTTCAAATGAATTCCGGAAGGAGCTTCCGGCAACCGCTCACTCAGGGCTTTACCGCCACTGCTGCCAGCCTCCAGTTTTCCAGCCTGGCTGCCAGTTCTGTTGGTGCCACTGCTGGTTCCACTCTTGGCCGTATCCGGCGGATCGCCAGTTTCTCCACTGCTCCTCAGCCCAGCTCGATCCCTGCCATTGCTGGTGGCTGTCGTAGCTCTGCCGATTCCATCGCCATTCATCTTGGTTCTGAGGGTGGCTTGGATCATCGGCTGGAGCAGCCGCTGCACTATCTTGGGGGTTGGTCCTCAAATCAGCGGTGCGCTGGGCTCTTCTCTGCGCCCTCTCGGCCTCCTTTCTCGCAAGATAGCCGGGTTCCAAAGTGGGGGGTCTTGGATGATCCCAAGACCTCGGCATATCAGCCGGTGTGCAACCCTCCATTCGTGCGAGCTGTTGGTGATGCCTGGCCGCCCTTTGCCGCGACTTCTGTCGGATCCTCGCCTCTTCCGGTGAGAAACCCATCCGGATGTCGGCTGCGAACTTGCCTGGCTTGGTGGGCGGAGGAGCCTCGTCCGCTCGCAGCTTCAGGGACTTCAGGTACTCGGTACATCGTTGCCAGGATGAAACCCTCATCTTTGCTTTGACCTCTGCAGGCGCCCTCAGGTATGCTTCCAATGCGATCACCAATCTCTTTCAGGAGATCCATGTCCTGTTGAAACTCCTCTGGAGTTCGATCGTCCTCCTGATCTCCCCAGTCGACTTCTTCTGAGGAAAAGAAAGGTGTCTCGACCGGAGCGGTCGGGCTTGATCTGGCTGGGCCAGCCGGTGGTGGGGTCCCCCCCGTCATGGCTTGATCCCTCGTCTCCTCGACCTTTGGCGCCTTGGCGGGGCTTTCCCCGCTGTCTCTTGCAGGCGGCTCTGCCATGGGGGCATCTTCATCCCTAGTGTCTTTGCTGACAGCTCTTTTGGGCCTTGCGTAGCTCCTCGGATCTTTTCCCCTGGACGTCATAGCTTCCCAGGCGGGCGGGAAGACCATCTCGGCAAGGTTGATCTTTGGGGATCCACCGCCCAAGCAGTCTTCCCTGACTGCTGTCGGCAACGGAGTCTCGACTTCTGGGATGGGTGCTAGGGTCTTCCTCTGCTGCCTCAGCTTTTGGTTGTTGTAGTGGAAAAGGAAGCTCTTCACTGCATCCAGTGCTTTCTGGTTGAAGGCATCATTTGCTTCCTTTCGATCCCCTTGGAGACCATCCGTGGTGTTCTCCTCATCCCAGTTCTGGCTGACCTCTGGCCAATCACAACTGGTCGGATCGACCACATCATGCCAGTCATCTTCGGAGTCTGGGTCTACGTTGACCAGCACATAGTCCTGTGAGGGGTCTTCCACCCTGTCCTCATGGTCACCGGGCTCTGGTGTTCCCAACCACAGCGCAGCTGGGCTGGCCCCTTTCCGGGCTCCTTGGTCCACCTCCATGGGGGCCGCCTCGGGCCGGATATCTTGCTTGTTCTGAGTTCCTTCTCCCTGGTAAGTTTGGGGATTTCTCTCAAACAGCCCCGAGGGTCGGAAAGGCTCTTCTCCTTCTTCGGCATTGGGGGCCCGTAGGTCCTCCCGCATTCCTTTGGTTTGGTATGCTTGAGCGGACCGCTCAAAATGCCTGGGAGTTCCTCCTACACTTTCCTCCGGTGTTCTTGGCTCGCCTGAGGGTGTTGACCCCTTTGCCTTTGGCGGAACAAAGCTTGGTGGCGGCGCCTTCCGACCGATTGCGGTCCCTCTCTCCTCCTGTTTTGGTGGGATGAAGTCCTTGGGCGGAGGAGGTGGTGGCTTCCTCAGACCCGCTGCTCCTCCTCCCTCCTGCTTCGGCGGTAGGAAGTCGCTGGGTGGAGGAGGTGGTGGTTTTCTCAGACCAGCTTTGGGTGGCGTCTTCGCCCTGGGCAATCTCTCATCCCTTGGAGGTGGCATGTAGCCTGGGGGTTTTGGCGGCGCCCATTGGTGGTAGTTGGACGATGGGCGTGGAACCTCTGACATAGGCGGAGGTTTTGGCATGTTCTCGGCTGGGGGGAACCTCGAGGTCGGCTTTGGCGTTGGTCCTTGTGCGGTTGAACTAGCTGGACCAGCTGTAGCCGTTTGCTGCTGTGGTCCCCATCCTGTGGCAGCTGGGCCGGCTGGATCAGCCGTAGGGGCGTGCGGTCTCGGGGCACTGTAGGATGGTGGGAACCTGGACGCTGGCTTGGGCTGGGTCGGTTGGCGCTCTGCCTGCGGACCCGGTGGTGGAGTAGTGGCTCTCGATTCAAAGAAGTCTCGAGCTTCCCGAAAAGACGAGGAAGGCTCCCTCCTAGCCTGTTGTGCATAGCAACCCCGAGCCTGCCCTTCATCCTCGTTATTCCGGGGGTTATAGGCTCTGGTTGCCCCTGGCCTTGCTGGTGTTGCCCGGGCTACTGCTGCTGCCCTCGCCCTGGCTCTGGCGAGTTCTGCCGCTCTCTCCGCTTGCCACTGACGGAACTGCTCGGCCATCAGTGGGTCACTAAGGATATCCCTAGCGGTTGACATCCTCTTGAACTCTTCGGATTTCTCTTCCTGCTCTCCTATCGGCAAGTGGCTGAGCTTGTCTGGATGGTACGTTCTTGCCTTCATTCGGAACGCCTTGAGCACTTCGGGCGTACTGGCCCCTCGCCTGACTCCGAGGAGTCGATGCAGGTCTAGATCCGGGTTGTGTCTGAAAAAGAGGTGTGATTCCTCCAGCTTGCTAACAGGGGCCGCTTCCATGACGCAGCTTCCAGCACGTTCGCAGAAGGACACTCGTCGGTCTGGGGCCCAAGACAAAGATCTCGAGCCTAGAGTCCCACGATCGAGATCAGACCGATCTTGGTGGTTTCCAACGGGTGGACGATCGGCAGCCTGAGCCTTCTGACTAGGCAAGGTGATGACGTTGCTGCCTATCATGCCTTGGGAGATGCCTATCTGGGCTGTGTGGTCCTCATATAAATATGCATGAACGGCATCAGAGGTCCAGCCCCCGTATCTCTTCAACCTCTCAAGGTCCCCGGTAGATGCGAAGAAAGCTGTGGCCCCCCCTTTGCGGAGTGAATGAGACCCTGCAAGTTCCCCTGGGTATCCCGCAGCCAGTGCTGCCACCTTAATTAGGTGGGCTATCCCCTCTCGGTCGAGACCGGATCGGTCCGCGTACCGAAACAGCGGCTTTTCAAGCTCCGCACCTCTCCAACGATGAGGTTGTAGTGCTTGCAGTGTAGCCAAGGCCTCGACCGGACACAGATCTCCACCGGATCGGTGGTGTGAACGAGCTTGCCCACGACCGAACT